GACCAGGTGATACCAGTTGGGACCAGGCCAGGTGAGACCAGGTGAGACCAGATGGGACCAGGTGGGACAATGTGAGACCAGGTGAGACGAGGTGGGAACTGGTGAGACCTGACCACAACCAGGTGGGACCAGGCAGAGACGGGCAGACACTTACTTTGAGGAAGGAGTAGAGGCAGATGGACATCCAGTTGGTCAGCATCTTCTCCACAACTGTCTCTGTCCTGAAAGACACATACAGGTCATTCCAGCCTAAGGAGCCACAACTGGGATCTATATGGGACCCCAGTCCTGGACCAGAGACCATAGGGCAGGAACTATAGGATATAACTTAAAGACAAGAACCATAGAGCAGGAACAATAGGGTATAACTTAAAGAAAAGAACCATAGAACCATGGAGGAGGACCTATAGAACATAACTTAAAGACAATAACCATGGAGCAAGAGCTATAGGGTATAACTTAAAGACAAGAACCACGGGGCAGGAACTATAGGGTATATCTTGAATACAAGAACCATAGAGCAGGAACTATAGAATATCACTTAAAGACCAGAACCATGGAGCAGGAACTATAGAATATCACTTAAAGACAAGAACCATAGAGCAGGAACTATAGGGTATAACTTAAAGACAAATACCATAGAGCAGGAAGTTTAGGGTATAACTTAAAGACAATAACCATAGAGCAGGAACTTTAGGGTATAGCTTAAAGACAATAACCATAGAGCAGGAACTATAGGGTATAACTTAAAGACAAAAACCATTGGTTAGGAACTATAGAGTATAGCTTAAAGACAAGAACCATGGAGCAGGAACCAGAGGGTATAACTTAAAGAAAAGAACAATAGAGCAGGAACAATAGGGTATAAATGAAAGACAAGAACCATGGGGCAGGAACTATAGGGTATATCTTGAATACAAGAAACATAGAGCAGGATGGATACAGATGTCTGGATGACTACTGTCCCAGAACCATAGAGCAGGGACTATAAGTTAAAGACAAGAACCATAGAGCAGGATCTATAGGGTATATCTTGAATACAAGAACCATAGAGCGGGACGAATACAGGTGTCTGGATGACTACTGTCCCAAAACCATAGAGCAGGAACTATAGTGTATAACCTAAAGAAAAGAACCATAGAGCAGGAACTATAGTGTATAACCTAAAGAAAAGAACCATAGAGCAGGAACTTTAGGGTATATCTTAGAGACAAGAACCATGGGGCAATAAGTATAGGGTATAACCTAAAGAAAAGAACCATAGAGCAGGAACTATAAGTTAAAGACAAGAACCATAGAGCAGGATCTATAGGGTATATCTTGAATACAAGAACCATAGAGCGGGACGAATAC